TAATGAATAGAGAATCCTAACCTTTGGTTTGGTACTACTTTGTTTGAGCAATGCAATAAAGGAGGCTTTTTCTTCAGCGGTAAACTCTGTCCTTGGAAAGTCAACGTCAAAAGTGACATATAAAATACCATGTCGTGTGTTGTCTGTATATGATGGCATACCTTCATCTTTCTTTCTTATTCGTGCACCTGGCCAGGTCACCTTTTCTCTACTTACCTAAACAAAAACCAATAAAATGCACATTCATAAACATGCATTCCATCTTATAAGAGGAAGTAAGTCCTGAATTTCAACGACAACAATGCAAAGCTACACCTGACACTAGAGACTAAGACATTATTGAAACATAACGGCGATCTCAACTTCTCAAATGTCACAATATATGAACTGATATAACTCAAAAAAATTTGTGAGTCTTAGAACATCTAAACAAACCAATTTACTACGTTAAACAAAACTGACAGTCAAAAACGACTGATATAAAGCATGCACGAAAGCCTTTCCCTTCTCCAAAAAAAGGAGTGAAAACAATCACTTCAAATCAAATACCTTAACAATGTGTCCGTCCAAATGCTTGATTTGTAATTCAAAACCATTCAACGCATCTTGAAGTGATATCGTCACATTCGTATACAAATCCATACCGCGTCGTTCGAATATCGGATGCTTTTGGATTTGAAGTTTAAACTTCAAATCGCCTGGATCACCCTCGATGTGCGGCTCTCCCTCACCTGCGAATACTTGCTCATGGCCATCATCCGCGCCAATTTCCACTTCTACCTGCAGTTGAACAATGATATAATCACGATAACCATAATTATAGTGATACTGATGACAGCAAAAATAAGATCGATTGATAACAACGATATTGGTACAAATAATGATAATAATAATAATGAATGATGGACCTCGAGCGTTCTCTTCTCTTTGGCTAGCGCTACATTCGGGCATTCATCACAGACTTTCACTTGATACATTTGGAATCGACCCGCACCCATCTGCTCTGTTCGCATCTCATGACGACAATTGCATTTTCGCGTTCCTGACACTGGCTTATAGATCGACTTTATCCTACAATTATCGAACTCATTACTATTTTGAGATATGACAACTGATCGCAATAATTTAAACACTCACAAATCGATAACGATCACAATTTATAACAATAATAACGTGTTCATCGTGACACAGCAATACTGATCCAATCGTTTCAATTTTCTCTAACTCAGCGAAATACACAGACCGAATCAAGTGACATTATGTCATCGTACAATTCATAATCTGATCATGCAAATCACACTCAAACATCCCAAACGAGAACATGGTACCTCTATGAAAACAAGTGCACTTCTACACTGCACACAGAACAGACATCAAATACTTCATTATAAATACCATTTCAACTGTATGTGGTTTGAAATGTCGAATTACACATCAAACCTCAGACTACATAATACAACACAAATAAAACAAGCAATACTGAGTGGACAAAAGAGTACAGAAAATAGAGCTAAACCGAAACGGTCTTGAAATCGGAGCGTTTGAAGAACAGTTGATCCAGACTTTTGCTTAGCTACAAGATTGCAACGTGGTTCTCGCTCAAACTCATCAAGCACTCATAATTGAACTCAAGNTTTTTTCGTAATCACTTCACATAATCAATTATCAAATGAATAAGCAACACCAACAAAATGAAATAATGAAACAAAACAAAAGCACCAATAAATGAATGTAACAAAGAACATTTTCTTCTGAACTCACCGTGTAACCTCAACAAAATTTCCGTTGTAGACCTCTTCAAGAGTGACCCATAAATCAACAACGACATCTGCCCCACGCGGTGTCGCATCATCGTCTTGACCATGTGATCCCCCACCAAAGAAATCACCGAAAAACGATGTGAACGGATCATGAGATGGCCCACCACCACTGTCCATCTTCTTCACGCCCTCTTCACCGTGCCGATCATAGACTTTACGTTTTGCCGGATCACTCAACACCTACAACGATCAACATTCAACGTTGATAAACGTAGCAGGTTGAGCAGCAATGCTGACAGTAATAATTAAATGAGTTCAGTTACAGTTCTCACTTCCACCTCTTATCACCGTTTTTGTAAGAGTTACCGCTAAAATTACTATATTACCAGATCATCCTTCATACATTCCACTAGACACAATAAGCAAATGTGAGAAATGAGCGGAAAATATGCCATTGTGCTTACCTCATACGCGGCTCCTAAATCTTGGAATTTCTCATTTGCCAACGGATCGTCTGCGACACGATCCGGATGCAATTCTTTCGCTAACTTCCGATATGCTTTCTTGATCTGATTTGTGTTAGCACTACGCGGTACATTCAGAATTTTGTAAAAATCTCTGCCCGCAGAGACCAATATCACATTGAACAACAAAACCAACAAAATCAGCAAGCTCGAGATCACACACTCCGCTACCTGCATTCTACTGCAAAAACAGAAATAATAAGTTGACATCTCGATAGAATGAAAACAAATACCGGTCGGGAAAATTCCAGTGGAAATACAATTGTTGACATTTATATTCTCACTGATGGTAATCACGGAACTAATCGTTAATTTTCAAAAAATTACCACGAAAACATGCTCTCAAGAAGACGTAAGCATAGGAAAGAGTTATGAAAACAGAATGCTGACTGTGAGAGAAATTCACTCAATAACAATATTTTCATTAACATATCGGTAGAAGCCAAACGATATCATTCGCAAGCCTTTTCGGATTAAACAACGGAGAGTATTCAGCCGAGAATTCAACTATTCAACTGCATAAATGCATCTGATTAGAGCAATTCCAGTGATGACGTTTCATAACGTTTATCGTTCCGTTATCATCATTAGTGAGAGAGTATAAATGTGAACAATTGCTCCAAATACTAATAACACGTCACATTACCATACGACGAATCAAAGGACAAAACAACAACTGGAAAACTATTCTGTGTAATCCGAGTGATTTGTCGCGAAATAATCCTCTTTAGAGTCTTTAGTTCACCGGAACCAAAATTTACATCCTCCATTCATGTGGGACTTAAAATTTACATTTACAATTGGTAATGCTATATATCTATTGTTCTCGATTCCCGATGAAATTGCGTTCAAAATTTGACACATTACCAACAATGAGTCGACATTGTTACGGTAGCGTTCCGTGCAGAGCGCTTGAATTAGCTAAAGTGAATGATTGCAGCATAACGTGATTACCAACGAATTTCTTCGACCTTTAAGGGCCTGAACCTGACAATGAACCCAGAATTCAATTCAGCCATGCGCCTGAAGCTAAACGGAAACCACGGATTTTGATTTTTTGATCTCTGTATCATGAATCCTGAATTCCGGCCGACGAAAACTTCCGTCTTCATGATCGAACAAATGAAACAAGCATGTTCAGGTTAATGTTCGTCGGGGGGCAGTTTTTCGGACGGGGCGGAGGGTGCCCGCGGGAAGAAAACCAGACGGGGAGTCCTCGTCAAAAACGTCTGGAGTAAACTGCTCGGGGGACACCGTCGGGGAATGATCGCTCCCCGTGTCCCCCGACGGGGAGGACGGGAAGCATTTCAGTTCAATTTTTGAATAGAATTTCAATTTTATAAAGATTTTCTTCTTTTCTTAAGTAGCTTTTTTTGAAAATTCCGTTTCAGCTTTATAAATAGAATATTCTATTCCGATGTGAACCTTTCGGAGTGAAATAAAATTGTTTTTCAATGATAATGCGCCCACGACTACAGCTTTAATTGACATGTTAGTACTATTCAAAAACCTCACAATATTACTTGTTTTAATTCACATTTATTGTTAGAAAACCAAGCGCAAATCAATATTATAAATGAAAACAAGAACAAATCAAACGTATCATTATCATTATTGCTA